TGTATTCGGTGTGTCTGTCCGTCCATGGATGAGTTCCATGCGTCCGATCGCGTTCGAGAATGCAGACGGCGCGTGGGTAACACCGACGAGACATGATCTAAGGAAGCCTAGCGCAAACGTCTTCAACGCGCCCACCACTCTGTTTCCTCCATGTCCCACCAACGATCCGCCATGTGCCGGGGAATATTTAGGATACTGAGAGAGGCCCTTGTTCTCCGTGTACCCAGCAAGGCCAACGCAGCAGCTAATCAGAGAGTAGCGGTACAGCACCATCTAGAATATCTTTACTCAACTGCTGTTTTCATGCACTTCTGTGAGACAGTGCCGTCTATTATACTGTTCGGGAGATACTCCCTTCTTTTCTCTCTCGTCTCTTCTCTCGGTTACGCGTGACTAATGACAAGGTGTGACTAAGAGAAGCTTCGCCCTTAAAACTAGAAAATACGAAGAATTCGAAGTATTGATGGAGTTTGCATTGCCCTCGACTCAGCGCACCCTTGTATACAATAGCAATGCAGTGGCTCGTGAGTATGGAATGTTGTAATGAGTGAAATTTACAGCTATGCATCTCTGCGCTCACATGAACGCGCTCTGTGCTAAGCGTTACAGCATTCTCTTTCAATGCACTGAAACATGGTTAATGGTGCTCATTCACTGAAAAATTTGTCGCAAATAGAAAGAAGCAGGAATGCTCGGTCACCATAGCCTTAAGCGTAATCGCCTTGACGCAAAGGGCTCATAGACAAACACGCTACAGAACATCAACTCGAACTGTTGTGCGACCAAGCAAGCGATGACTGGAATGTTAGACCAGTGGCGTGACTGTGCGCGTTTTCACTTAGTAGTAGTACCTTTAACAAGCACCTCAGAAAGTCAACCGAAAACCACATTTCACAACAAACTTTCAGTATAAAAAGTTTTACTGGTATATATAGTCAACTACGCCGACTGTGCATCGTGTTCTGCATAGGGCGTTCAATGCATTACTTAAAAAAATTAAATTAGCAAAGCGTTCATAAAAAGTCACAAGCTTTGCCACAAAGGCGAATCGATCAACTTTATTGCAACAAATTGGAAGATCACGCACTGAATGGCAAGCACATCGAAGCGTGCCTCGCGTTTCTCACGCACAAATGACGCACGAAACGTACTCACAGGTACAGATGAACGCGAATAGGCGTCTCAGTTGTAACTTCACTCACCCTTTTCGCAAACGGAGGCTGTGCAACGAATGCAGTGATCTTTGCGCACCCCATAACTACAACAAAATCATTCCAGTGCAAGCCCAATGCCAACGAAGACGTATGATCCTCCCCACCGGGAGATAAGGGCGCGCGAGAGATCGTTCATTACCCTCCTTTCCACGGGCCAAACCACGCGTGATAGATGAGAGCCAACGCGCTTGTTGCGCCATATTGCTGATAAAGCTAAAACCACGATAGTCCCCCTCCTCAAGATGGCCGCCAACAACGGTAAGTGGTAGATATAAACAGCTTGCCGTAAGGACGTTAAAGGAGGGTCTTCTCAGTGGCACAGTGATTAACGCCTTGCATTCAAGGCGTGGAGGTTCCACGTTCGATTCCGTGCGCCGGAGTCTCTTTTCGGGATTTTTAAAAGTAATACCCTTTCTTGGGGACCTTGGACGCAAAAGTTTTGGTCTGTCTGTCTGTCTGTCTGTCTGTCTGTCTGCCTCTACCTTTGTCTGTTTCTCCACTCTTAATGGCATTGGGTATTTCAAACGGCCGACCCCATCCGCTGCGCCCCTCAATGTTTCTCAAGATTGAGCGTTCATGCTTGTGCAATTGTCAATTAAAAAGCAAATATTGCGCATGTATGGAGCATCATAACAACACGTATATATTCTGCATGTAGGTCTTCTACTAGAAAAGGCATACAAAAGTAATTTTAAGGGCCTTAGCGCTTATCACGCTGCGCTGACCATGCAACGCTTGCACGGAAAGGCGAGTGTTTCCAGCGCTTTGCAAGGACGAGACGGTGGAGGCAGCTACCCGTCGCCTTGCGTTCTACACCTTATTACCTCTGAGATCGGTGCGCAGACCCGTCTCAGAGCCACGCGCTTTGTTTTTTAAAAAAACTGCCAGATGGCACTCATGTCTCGCGTGTGACGCGAGTTGAGGCGCTTCTTCGCCTTCGCTGCTCGCTCGAGTCACTCTAACGCAGCGCCGCCAGAATACCATTCACCAATTTTCTTGCGCAAAACATCAAATAAATGTCTTGTTCACTCTCTCCACACGCAAGACTGTTGTCTTTCGACGTTATTTGCAAATTACCATGCAGGTATGTGACCAATTTTTTCTTGCGTGCTTATTCATATATACAGATACGTATACATATACGGTGCATGACATCGACACCAACGTCGACGCCAGCGCCGGTGGCAAAATCCAGCCGAAAGTGTCCTTATAATAGCTATCGCAATAAAAGCGTTATATTTGCACATGTTTGATTTCTTGGGCACAACGCTATGACATGGTTTAGACATTGTCACGAGACCAGAATTGCAGGGTTCGTTTATTATCCACGGTCCAGCCAGCTCTCGAAAAGCGCGTCTGTCGCAGCTGGCTCTCGAGCATATATAAAACATGCGAACTTTCTTTAGGGGCGAAACTCTGTAAGATGGGGGTCTGTGCATGCAGGTCTCTCTTGGTACGTGACTGTCTAGTTCTATGACACACTCAGCAGGTGTGGATGGAAGGGCAAATGATGGACGGACAGACAGGCGGACAGACCGACGGATAATTTGAGGTTTACCGATAAAACCCTGCGAAGCTTCTCTAAACTCATCATTCACTCAGTGGAGATGCTGCATTTTTTTTAAATGCGACGCATTTCTTGACGAACTTCGGTGACTTTAAGCGTATCTATCTATCTATCTATCTATCTATCTATCTATCTATCTATCTATCTATCTATCTATCTATCTATCTATCTATCTATCTATCTATCTAGCCGCCTATGAATTTTAGCTCTCCTGGCGGTTTCGATAACGGTATCGATACCAAACTTGGTATGGCATAACATGAATGTATGAAAACATATTTGACTGGTGATAACATGAAAATCGTGACATGTATGTCATGAATGTCATGATATACAAATCATAGTCCTCCAGCTTTTGCGGTGGTTTTGTTCACATGGCATGTTGCAAAACTGGTATGGTATGGCATGTTTGTATGGCAAACAGAAGCAACAAAGCCTAACATGAAAATCGAGATATGCGTGTCATGTAACAACATGACTACATGCCACGCTCATGATGCTCTCGCAGTCGTTTCGCTAGTGTCACAAATACCTAATTTGATATTACAGTACGGGAATGGATGACGATGGAACGTGACTGCTGCAAACATAATTTTTAGGTTCGTGTCATGTAACAACATGACTACATGCTACGCTCATGATGCGCTTGCGGCCGTTTCGCTAGCTTCACGTGTACCAAACTCGGCATTACGTGACGCGAACGGACGACCTAGGTAAATGACACATTCAAACCTGATAATCATGACGTGCGTGTCTTGTAACAACGTGACTACATGCCACTCTTATGATGAGCTCGCGGCAGTTTCGATAGCTTCACATATGCTAAATTTGGTATTACGAGACGCCAATGGATGACGAAGGTATGTGACTGGCGCCAACAAAACAATCATGAGATGCGTGTCATGTGACAACATGAGTACAAGCCACAGTCAAGGCGTCAATACATTTCGCCGAGGCGCAATACGCGTACTTGCCGGCGTTCATTTCGTCGCGTATATCACGCCGGCGTTGCCACGCCAGGCACCGTTCCTGCCCTATACTCACAGGCGTGCACTTCGCTGCATTGCTTTGATGCATGCGCGTTGCAGCGCGTCCGGCGTCCCTCCATCCCGAAAAGAGGGAGACGCAGTGTTGTCTGGGCAGCATGGCGCGGCCCGACGGCAACCGGTGCAAAATGCAGCATGTCGCATTTTGCACCGGTTGCCATCGGGCCGCGCCGGCGGACGCTGGTCCCACCTGGCGTCAAACTATAGAGTGCTCGTGTTTCTAACGTGGCGTTGCTGTGCCTAGCATGTGCGCGCGTCAATGCTACGTTGAAGTATATCGGGTCCTTCATGATGCACTCGTGGCCGTTTTGCTAGCACCCACATATATCAAGTTTGGTGTTACGTGACATCAATGGGTGACAAAATATATGACCAGTGCGAAGATGATAACCCTGACACGCGTGTCATGTAAGAACACGACAACATACCACACTCATAGCGTGCTTGCGGCCGTTTCGCTAGCTCCACACATACTAAATTTATTATCACGTGACGTGAATAGATGACGAAGGTAAACGACGCATCTAGCATAATAATCATGCTGCGGAAGTCATGTGCAGTATCATTTACCTCTATCTTGTAACGTTGTGCTAATTTTAAAGTGACATATCAAATATTCTCATTCGTTCTTCGCATATCATCGATTCCCACTGCACGTGGGATCTGCCAATTTTTTTTTTATTTTCTAGTGGTGGTTGCCGCTCTCACCCTTAACCCATTATATTGTTAGAGTTACTTACTCGGCATAGCACTTACGCGCGGGCCAAAACAGGGGGGTGAAACTTCGTGGTTTTTCTGTCCCGTGACCGCAGCAATCCTAACGTTTGGGGGCTGTACTACCTAAATGAACGTTCTTGTTCTATTTTATAGTTATTACTAGGTTCCTCATTAACTACGGAGTTTTTACTACACAAGTGAACCTAAAGGTTGCAGTTCGAGATTGCGAAAACAAGAGCGCCACCCGAAGTGGAAAACGGGAACTGTGCAGTCGTCCTATCTCTCACGGCGAAAACGGGGCGTTTCTTTTCGCGTGCCCATGTATGCTACAGCTTGCGGTGTCCCAAAGGCCGCTTTTACCGCTGTAAAGTTTGTTTTAGCAAAACCCATGCAAGATTCAGCCAAACAGACGCATCCATGGATTCTCGCCGTCCTCACAAATTGTGCTGCGCTGAGTGGTGTCGGAATTCTTCACGACACACCAGCATAAAATTCTTTCGGATCCCGGCAGACGAAAGGTACGATCTGCATGCTGCTCGTTTTGTCTTTCTACGCTTGCACGGCATATCAGGATGCGGTTGCTGCAGTAGCTGTGTAATTTAATTGATCTACACGTACATGATTTATTCATTACATTCTGATTGTCTGCTTTTCGGCTTCAATTATACATGACATGCACGGCAGAGCATCTGGAAATTATTCCAGCGAATACATTTGCTACGCACGATTGTTTATACTTGCGTTTTCAATTTAATGCGTTTCGATCGTGCATTGCATTTCGATGTTGCGCTTTGGCTCAAGGCAATGAATGCAAGGCCTGTCACAAATGTATTTGTAGCAGCATATACAGTAACTAATAGAACAGTGTAAGCTTATCCGCACTCTTTTTATTACCTTTTGATTGCCTGCGTTCAGTCGGTTCTTGTTGCATGCTTTATTAATATTCTTGAATATTATCAGCCTATATATGTCTATAGCTGGAGGAAGGCGATTCCCATAATCTTTTGGCTATAAGGGAGGGTCCATATACGTTCATAGCATGTGTTGTTAGCACTATGGTAATTAAGTACTGAGTCATAAATTATTACACTTGCGAGTTTAGACGGATGTTATTACATTATTGCGTTTCATTTGTGTGTTTTCATTTTGGCCTCACATAAATCCACGGCATATTGCAGAGGAATTTAGCAATAAATTTGTAAAGTAATAATTTATAATGTATACTTCAATTTCATGTTTTCAATTTCAGCCTTAAGTACAATTACAATATATTTACAAGAATGCAATTGCAGCTAAAAGCCCATAAATAGTTGGACAGTGTAAACGTACGTGTTCTACTAATTTATTACCAGTTTTAATAGGGTTTTTTTGAAAGATTTGCAGCAGGGCGCGAGAAATACCCGAGGAATACGCAGTGCGCGAGGGTATATATGTACGAATAGTTGTTTAGAGATTTTGGTGTGGGATGATTGCTATTGTCTGCAAAAATATATTTGGAATTAGGAGGAAAGCTGGGGTCGTTGCCACCAAACATTACTATCGCTCAAGTAGAATCATGTATCCGCGTCTCTTAATAATAAAGACAGATTTTATTTTAAAGTTTGCTTTCAGGATTGCTATCACAAGTCGTCTTGGTTAGAAAAATTCAACTAAGAAAGGAAGATGAGAAATGTATCAAATAATGCTTACTTCCAATAAAGATCCCAGTTTTCACTCAAAGCTAACCATATACGCCTGAAAACAGAAATAAATCCATTCTAACGCAAATACTACATACGCACACATTGATTTTCCAGATCTCGCGCTTGGCTTCAGTATGCGAGACGGCAGGACCTGGCTCATTTACCACCTCGTCAGATCTACAGCAGCTACCGCCTGTGCTCTGCCCATTTCACCAGCAGAGACTACGCAGACCCTGGACAGACAAGGCTGCTAAGATGTGCTGTGCCAACAGTTTCCATCTTTGGGGATGGGCAGACACACGTCGAAAGTCCAGGTGGGAATACTGTAAAGTGATCATACAACAGCACAAACTTTCATGCCTCTACATCTATTTACAGAGATGTCTTAATACTAAGTATGTGTACCTGTCCGAGTTATCCTGACTCAGTATTTTTAAGATTTTCGCGCAGATTACACCAACAATACCAATGCATGGTGTACACAGCATCCATAGATTCACCAGCATGATTTCGTGGGTAGATATAACTAGCTAAGTAAAAAATTTGCCGGCTTCACAATCGTTTAATTTAGAGCAAACGTCTCACTCACAACGCTCTACATGTAACCTCCTCGATTCCGATTCAGTTGTCTCTGCTATTTTACCCGTGGCGTAGCGTTTTACAGGAAAAGGCGAAAATGACCTCATAACTTGAGAGAGTACTCCATGTGGCGCGTTATCAGCTATTTCGCACATGGCGAGTGAGTAGCGGCCAACTTGGTGTCTCTGTTAAAACAATGGCGCGATAGCTCTGACAGTGGGAGTAACATAACTGGCCTTTTAGAAATATATATATTCTACGACACCCTAGTTCAAAGTCGCTTTTAAAATTAAGAATCCAAAAGGTACTTTATTTTTATTAGCTTTATTATTTGAAAATTACTTTTATTTTCAATGGGCCAAATAAGTGTAATTGGCAAGAATTCGGTTACGCGCTAGCTCATCACGGGTACCACGATGTTAACCTGTTCTAGGCACATCGCATTAAGATTTTTAAAATATTGGTTTAGGATAGTTGGGACACCCATATATTTAGTGAGTGACACGTAGCGTTCTCTTTTTGTGTGTTTACACTTTTTTTATTACTCGTACAAAGACATAATACGCGAGGAGACCAATTATTAGTGAGAAAACGCCCTGACTGATTGTAATTGCAAATATTTAATGCGACGCCTAATACCAGCTGTATGTATGTCACGCTGAAATCTGTGTTCCGCCAATTTCTCTTCACAGGCTCTCCTCGGCCCGCGAATACCACTGCAATGCCCGCTCACAGCGCCGATAAAGAAGTTCAACAGACTGAGTCCTCATGTACGCAAATTGTATTGCTCTCTAAGCTCTTTAAAACTATTCCAGGTAAATTAATGCCCTGCAGCTATCGTTTTAATGTCACGTACCATTTAACATATCCTAAAGTGCACGAGGGTGTCAGCTGGGCGAGCTAGTTCGTTGCTAGGGGACGAGAACCAGAGCGATGTATACCGAAAGGTAGGACGAGACGAGTGCTTGTCCGATCCTTTTCTTGCTTGTTTGTTGCCTCCTAAGAGGGATTAGTGCCCCGCCGCGGTGGTCTAGTAGTTATGGCGCTCGACTGCTGACCCCCAGGTTGCGGGATCGAATCCCGGCCGCAGCGGCTGCATTTTCGATGGAGGCGAAAATGTTTGAGGCCCGTGTGCTTTGATTTAGGTGCACGTTAAAGAACCCCAGGTGGTCGAAATTTCCGGAACCCTCCACTACGGCGTCCCTCATAATCATATCGTGGTTTTGGAGCGTTAAACCCCAGATATTATTATTATTATTATTAATAATAATATTATTATTATATTATTATTATTATTATTATTATTATTATTATTATTATTATTTAAAAGGGATTAGTGTTTTTTTAGAGAAGACTATGAATTCGTTGTTTTTTGCTAAACATACTATTTTAAACGTATAACCAATAATGTTTGTTAACAAGGAGTATGCTAATGATTAGGAAAAACTAGTTGACGCTTCATGTTGCCCACGATGCTTATACATGCCATTAGTAGGCTCAATGCCCAGCAGTGTGCTTATCAGAGGCCTGTTCCCAATGCCCCAAGTTTGAATAAGTGAAGGATCGAGAACTAAATATGACCAACTGATTACTCATGGAAGTAATCACTTCAATTCTAAAAGCCGCTAGAACTTTTACTAGATTTAAAGATCACGGTCAAATTTCACAAAAACACAGTATAAATGAGCTTTTTTTCTAAATCTTTCAGGTTCCAATCCAGCGGGTCCACAACACAAGCCTTCTAGGTGCTCGCCCCGGAGAGCCAGAAAAATGAAGAACCTGGAGAAGATAAATTCAAGGCTTCGGAAGGCACTGTCAAGAATTGGCAAGAGAAAGGTTAAAAAGCTTTCCCAGTCCGAGGCGTTGAATGCTATCAGGCCCTACGTCCGCAAGACATTCTTTAGATTGCTTGAGACTCAAGGTAAAATTGATGGCGTGAAACGTAGAGGACGGAGGTGGTCGCCCGAGCACCGCCAGTTCGCTTTAAACTTATACTTTCATGGTCCGAAAGCGTACAGACATCTGTCAAGACTGCTTGACATGCCAACTGTGAGGTCGCTAAAGCAGTGGTTATCAAATATTCCGATGACTCCCGGAGTTATTCCAACCGCTATTGAAGCCCTCGAAGAAGCTACCCGAAATTGGCATTTAACAGATCGTGTGTGCACATTAATATTTGACGAAATGTTCTTGAAGGAACATCTGCAGTATGATGCAAAGCATAGCATTGTGATGGATTCTCCGATGACGGTAGGCAAAGAACACCAGCCGTGGCAAATTCAGCGCTCCTGATACTTGTGGCAGGCATTTCAAAAACGTGGATTCAGCCTGTTGCTTACACAGTATCAAGGACCAAAACGCCCGCAGATACTCTTCATAATCTGATCATATCATTAATCAAGCAGCTGCAGGGAGCCCGGTTGTTTGTGAAGGCGCTCATCTCCGACGAGGGGGGAAGCAACATCACTTTGGCAAGTAAGCTAGGTGTGAAGCTTGAAGAGCCGTTTTTTGTGCTTGAAGGCCGCAAGATTTATTTCCTATATGACACACCACACTTACTTAAATGCACAAGGAATAATCTCCGCGCACCTCACAAGCTCCATATCGGGCAAGAAATTGGGGATTGGTCTTTCATTACGCAACTATACGAAAGCTCGCATCCTCTCAAACTCAAATTGGCGAAGAAACTAACCGACAACCACAATTACCGAAAGCCTTTCAATAACATGAAAGTTAAATATGTCAGCCAGGTGATGAGCAAATCGGTCTCAGTAGCCATTGATGTATTCATTGTTCTTGGCGTGTTGCTTGCATCCGCCAAACCAACAGCTGATTTTCTAGAGAAGATAGATAAGTTATTCGACTGTCTGAATAGCTCTTCTGTAAAAAAAGCCAGTGACAAGTTACGTTATGCAATTTCGGAAGGGTCCGAACACCTAGCCTTTTTTCCGGGAGTGCCTGTTGTGGGTTGAAAGGTGGAAATTTGACGGGCCTCTGCAACCACACACAGTTGAGGCATGGAAGGTCACCTTAAAGGCTATCCTTCTCCTCTCGGACGACCTCTTCCAAGATTTTGATTTTCGTGTTCTCTTGACTCGCTGGCTACAGCAGGACCCCCTGGAGAACCTTTTCGGGCTTCTTAGGTTAAAGCATGGCTGCAATGACAACCCAAAAGTGCTTCAGTTCACATCAGGTCTGAAACACATTTCTGTTGGCAAACTGGTTGCCCTTTTTTCAGAAGGAAACTGTGAACAGGATCGCAGCACTGTGTTGGCACAAATGTCAGAGCCACCTCATTCGCTTCCTACTACTTGTGATGCAGCACGAACTGTCGATATGCTTCCTGATGAGGAACAGCCCGTTAGCCATGATATAGTAGAGGATAACGTTCTCTACTATGTTGGGGGATATCTCGTGCGGCAATTTTTGTTGCACAGGCCTCCACACTGTGTGTGCAACACCCTTTTGAAGACTGCCGACCGCCAGCTTTGTGCATCACACCAGTATTTGGCTATGTTTAAGGCAAGCAACATCTCCTCAGATTTATTTGGCAATGTAACAATGCCTTCTTACGATTGCTTTCAGAATATTAAGGCCATGGAAGCTTGCTTTTTGGAATATATCGGTGTTGTGGCGCACCTGCCTATTGTGAGTGGAGTTTTGGCAGGCATTTTGCACAGTTGTATGGGAAGGCAAGAATTCTGCTCTGAAGAATGCAAGAAAGCCTTTGTGCACCTCTTTGCAAGGATTCGCCTGTTGTGGCTTATTCGCTTCGTGAACATCCCCTTGGCTAAACAACGCACCAGAAAATCTGCTGCAGAACGAAAAATGCGGAAGTTTTTGTAACTTTTAGGATTCTGTTTGCATATTTGAGGTCTTGAAAAACTGAGCGCGCACCACGCTACATTGCTTTGATGCATGCGCGTTTCAGCACGTCCGGCGTCCCTCCATCACGAAAAGAGGGAGACACAGTGTTGTCTGGGCAGCATAACGCGGCCCCACGGCAACCGGTGCAAAATGCAGCATGTTGCATTTTGCACCGGTTGCCATCGGGCCACGCTGACGGACGCTGGTCCCGCCTAACGTCAAACTATTGAGTGCTCGCGTTTCTAACATGGCGGCGCTGTGCCCAGCATGCGCGCGCGTCAACGCTACGTTGAATTAAATTGGGTCATTCATGATGCACTCATACTCAGGGTCTCGAACCGCAGGGGTGGGCTGAGCGAGAGCAATCTCCTTCGGCTCTATCATGCATTTCTCATGAGCCACATTAATTATATCGCTTCGGCGTTGCGCTGGTCCAAAAGAGACGAGGCAAGAATTGATACACTAATGCGCAAAAGCATAAAGCGAGTGCTAGGCTTGCCTATCCACACTAGCACCGAGAAGCTCCTACAATTGGGCATGCATAACTCCCTCTCGGAGGTGATCGAGGCCCAGCAGATGGCTCAGGTCGTGTGACTATCGTCCTCGAGGGCTGTAGGCGCATCCTGGAATCCATAGGCTGCGGTCCTACGGCGACTAACCAGCGTAATGTAACACTACCACCCTCAATCAGAGGCACGTTTTCGGTAGCTCCACTTCCAAGAAAGGTCCACCCACAATACAATGTAGGGCGCCGCATAGTTCGGGCCCGTTCCTTATTAAAATCAGTTGCAAGCAGACCGCATCTCGCGACCTTTGTCGATGCAGCCCAGTACGGGCGTTCGGATCGCTTCGCAGTGGTCTCGGTTGATCATAGTGGCACACTCCTATGCTCTGCCTCGGTTAGAAAGGTTTCGGCAATGGTGGCTGAGCAAATCGCCATCGCCATAGCAATGAAGGACCCACCGCGTCCTAATGTCTTTACAGATTCGCGTTCCCCAGCTAGCGCTTTCGCCTCGGGCTTGATCTCGCGTGAGGCAGCGGCCATCCTCGGCTGTGAGGGGGCCGCCGGGTTTCACACCATAACATGGTTCCCGGCCCACATGGCGGCCAACGTACATCCTGATGTCCCCAACGCCAATAAATTCGCCCATGACCGTGCGCGAGGTATCGCTCACCGCGGCGGTCCCGGCGGATTCGCAGGCGGGGACGCCGGAAGATACAGGGACTCGCTACTCACTTTCCACGAGACCATGACTCATTATCTATCTGACTATCTCGGAGGGCTTTTCCACTTCCTCATCCTAAACTTACGCGACCACAATCATCGGCCTACAGGATGCTCGAAATGGGGTCTTTCCCTTCGCGAGGCAGGTTCAGTCATTTTTCGCCCAACATCGAGCCGCATTTTCCGGGTTGCGGAGAGGCGTATTGCTCATTACCTCATATGCTCTGGCAATGTCCTGCGTTACGTGACGCAGAGTTCAACTTAGAAGAGGACTGGGAGGAAGCCCTTAACAGCGGCGACCTCTTGGTTCAACTTCGGGCTGTCCAGAGGGCCTGCGAGAGGGCGGAGGGCCACGGTCTTCCGGTCCCTACGTGGGAGCGGCCCACGACTGCTACGGATTCCCCCTAAACGGGGCAGTTACAACGCAGTTCCTCGGGACCTGAATAAAGTTCTTTGTCTGTCTGTCTGTCTGTCTGTCTGTCTGTCTTGATGCACTCGAGGCCGTTTGGCTAGCACCCACATATATCAAATTTGGTGTTACGTGACGCCAATGGGTGACGAAATATATGACTAGTGCGAAGATGATAATCCTGACACGCATGTCATGTAAGAACATGACAACATACCACGCTCA